CCTACAGCTCTGGCACAAACAGCCTGAGTGTGAACCAGTTGCTCTGGTTAAGGAGAGGTTTGTGACAAACCTGCAAATACTGTCTGACATTTCCAAAACTTTGGTCATGATTGCACCACTTGCAATCTGATCAGAGAAAACACAGCTGTCCATGGCTCCTGGAGGCACTCACTCCTGGGCCACGGCAAGAAACGCCATTGTCAGCACAAGGTCCAGGTAGCAATTCCAAATCCAAGCTTACTCTGCAGCCAAATCTCAGATACCTGTAATGGCAAGGGTAGGTATTTTACAAGGATAGCGCTATTATTGCCAAAATGCCAGGAAAAAGCAGCATAACTCTCTGGCCATATTACAAGGGGCTGTAGTGACACAACTGCATCCACACTAGGACACAGGCTGCATAAGCAGAACAAAGCTTGCACAGCCTGCCTTCCTCAAAGGCAGGGCCTGTCCAAGGAAGGACAGACTCGCCGTTTGGCCTGCAGAACAGTGCTTCAAGGGAGGAACTTGATGCAAGTAGAAACCCTGAATTCCTAAGCTCATGGCCATCTCCCAGGTGATATTGTCATAAAAGACCACGGGAACAAAATTGGCAAACTCTTCACCCTCCCTTCCCACTGCAGGTAAGAAGCCGGTGATAAGTACCCCACACAGCACCCTGTGGCTCTCCCCTGCTCACCCGTGATATTCCTTTTGCTCTGAGCTGCAGTTTCCATCCCTAACGTGTTCCAAATGCCCCCTGCTCCTTCTGCAAGAACCAAGATTGCTCTGCCAGCAAACACTTTTATGGGTGGTGTTTTTTTGCTCAATGGATCATGTGGCAAAGATGGTGCAGAGGTACATCCCCTCCGGTTCACCTCAGAGCAATTGGCCACTTGCACAACATCCAGGGCTGCACAGAACCTGCGACAAGATCAAAGCTGACGGAGACAGGTGGAGTTTACGTAGCTCGTTGCCACACCATTCGGTCAGTCAGTTTCCACCCAACAGCCCAATTCAAAGAACAGTGCTAAACTGGAACAGGAATGAACACATGGCTGCAGGTTTGAAAAGAGAGCACCCTGCTATTTACAAAGGCTGTATTTGCCTTTGAGGACAGATGCACTCTGTCCACACCTGCTGTCAAACCAGCCTGGGATCCAGAGAAGCAGCAGCTGCACTCATCCCTCCCTTGGGACTCCAAGGGGACTGTGGCAAGGCTGCTGCAAAGCCTTGTTGGAGGGAGTGCCATGACACAGACTGCCCTCGCTCAGGAGCACCAGAGAAAGGAGTCTGGCTGTGCTCTCCAGACAATCGGCAGTTTGGTGAGCTGCGGGGGCAACGAGCCCCTTTGCACCAGCAGAAAGATGTCCTGCTGGTTTGTTTGCACACTTCCAAGGGCCTTTCCAACACCACCACTGCCCAGCCGCGCCCGGTGCGAGCTCGGGGAGGGGGGGAAAAAAAAAAGGGGGGTGGGCGGTGGCGGCGGCTGCCGTCGGTGCCACCACAGCCCGGGCCCTGCACTTACCGCTCACCCCTCAGATGAGCTGCACCGCTCCTGAGGCCACCAGCGGAGCAATGGTCCGGTACCGGATCAGGTGCTGTGAGCCCTCCTCCAGGTCGATGGTGTACTCCCTGCAGAAACAGGCGTGCCCTTCAGCCTTCCTGCCCACCGTGCCCCACGCCACTCTCTGAAACCCAACTCATGCAGGTGCACTGCACGGGGAAGCGCCCACCTACCTCTGCTCATCTGTCTCCGGCTCAACCAAGATGTTCTCCTGCCGCTCCAACACCCTCAGGAACACAAACGAGTCCAGGTTGGGCTTCGGGACTGCAGACAACGGATTCAGGGCACAAGCTCAGCACTCGCCTGTGTTCCTCTGCAGGACAGCGAGCTAACAGAGGGGTACAGGGGACAGCAAACTCATGGCCAGTGAAGGGAACACTAGACACTTCTGATCAGCGGTAACGCATGCGCTGCCTCAGCGTAAGGCAAGACTGGACGGCAGGGGCCAGCACGATCCTCTGACAGCAGCACCAAGGGGCCACACAGCAGAGGAGTGTTATGACACTGTCACCACCTCATCTTTGCTTCTACGGAGTGCCAGCTGCAGGACTAGCCCTTAACGTTCCCTGCTGCTGTAATTTTCAGATTACCCTGCAGTCTGGATGTACTCACCCGATTTTAGGAGAGACACTTTCTGCAGGTTGGGCGGCATGTGTTTTAGGGCCACGTTCTTCAGATAAGTCTCTGTGTTTGCCATGTACCTGAAACAAACCATTGAGGCATTTACTGGTTTAATCAAATACAGACTTGCAGGCTGAGTACTGACTCAAAATGAAAGCAAGCAACATCTTCTGGTCCCACAGGCATGGCCAGAGACAAGCCTAATGGCTTGTCCTGGTAACTGGCTCAGAGTTACCAGAGCTATTTTATTTCAGCTCTTTCCTTGTCCAGCAGAAAACCTCCTGGTAAAAGCTGTGATTCTTACTGCAAACCTGTCTAAGGCTGACAGTCTCAAGAACTGTTCAGCATAACACATGGGCGAGTTCTATAACCTAGAAAAAGGGAGGGAGATGCATCCAAAACATACTCACTCTTTAGCAAAAGCAAACTCCTCTGGTGATAGAATGGAAGGCTGCCCTTCAGCTCGAGACTTCTCCTTCTCCAGGACATGAGGGAAAAACTTCTCTATCTGATATTGGAACAAAATCCCAAAGACTGTAACAGACCTCTCCCAGGAGTTCAGTGCCTACAATCGCCACTCCCCAAAGGCTTCCCCTGCAAGCAGTAGTCCACTGTTGTACAGGTATACGCAGCAGCTGCAGGCCTGCCCAGTACCTGCTCCCAAATTAACAGCAATATGGTCAGCTGGGTTCTCCAAGCTGCACAACCACATCTGTACGTGGCAGGACCCAGGCACAACATGCAAGCATTTGGTTGTGCCATCCTGGGCCCAGACAAGGTGGGCCTGGGCCCCAAGAAAACACCCACAGCAATGCTGTGATCCTCCATCATGACAGAAAAGCATGTCTAAGGAATGAATTCCTTGGGACTGTACTTTGGAGGACACAGAGGGTGTGCTTTAACTAAGCGACTTACTGAAACAGGAGGCCTTGTATAAGTAAAAACCACTTCTGTAGTCACCCTTTTTCATCCCCTGGGCAGCACAGCAAGTATTACCTTCACAAGCCTACATCGCAAGTAGCTGCTGAGCACGTAGCGGATCCTTTCAATCTCCATGCGGTGAACGCTGACCTTCAAGTCTCCACTCTTTGCCCGCTTTAGGTTTGCCTCCTGCAAGGAAAGGCAAAGACAAATTAAATGGTTGAAATGCCAAATAACAAGAAACAGAGGGAAGATGGGTTTTGCACATAAGGCCCGCAAAAAACAGACTGTAGCTGCTTTTGGTGACACAAAGCACCCTATTTCCTTGTGTCTCCAGTCCCCTCCCTGAGACAAGCTCAAAGAAGGGGCTCAGAACAGCCTTATCTCAGGGACAGAGGAGCAGACAATCCCAGCAATCCCAGAGGAACCCAAGCATGTACCTGCCATGCCAGGCACTCAGGCGCCTGCCTGTACCATCACCTCAGTCCAGCAGAACCTACCATATGATCCAGCTGCTCCACAACACACTCAACGATCTCAGGCTTGCTCTCCAGCAGCTCTGGAGCAAACTTCTCATTCAGCCAGGCCTGAAAGAAGGCACGCTGTAAGCAGAAACAAGGAATGCACCCACTAGATGCCCCAGTCCCCAGAGAGGCCAGAAACTCATCCCTCCTCACCCGCTCCGGCGAGCCAGGGGCCTGGACCCCGCTGCCCCACACCTCCCCCAGAGAGCCCAGGCAGGGCCCAGCTCTCAGGCACGCCCCAGATGCCGCCCGGGAGCCCAGGGCCCGGCCCTCAGCCGCTCTCCCCAGCACACACTACCTGCTCCAGGCTGCGGATGAGCTGCGCCGGGGTGAGCACCAGTTCCTCGCTACCCCCGTCCGAGTCTCCCTCCGTCCCCTCACCGCCCGCTGCCGCCATCCCGCCACAACCTCCCGCCAATAGCTACGGGCCTCCGCGCATGCGCGGCCCCCCCCCCCCCCCACACCCCCCGCGCCCCA